ACAGGCTTGTATCATTCATCTTTGCCCCGTCAGCTAATTACTTTCCTGTTTGGGCTACATCCCTCCAATCATCCCTCCACTACTTGTCATGTCATTCCCTAGGGTTTCCACTTGCTTCAACCACACACCTAACGTAGGTTCCTCCCTTCACTGGGTGATCCTTCTACTATGAGTTCTCTTAGGAGGGCTTTATAATTTTTCATCCAAATATTTACTTGTTGGAAGTTCTTTCTTTCCTGTGAATGCTTCCTCCATTCCTGAAGTACTGCTGGGCTTTCCCTAAAGCCAGCTGTACTCACCACTACTGAATCTGATATTGAGTCCCTCTATAGGCTGGTTGCATTCTCCATTCATACATCTCCTGTGTGTTTTTCTCCTAGACTGTGTACTCCCATCACCACATACCTCCTGCTTACTCTTCTCATGGGCTAGATGCTATCTTGACCCATTCACGACTTGCTGAATCCCTCCCGTATATTGGCTGCATTATTCATCCATGAAGATCATTTTGATTTATTTTTTAGGCTGATTGCTACCTCTACACAATAACCTCCTCAGAAGACTCCCTAGAATGACTCCATCCTTTCTCATAAAACCTCTTCTGGGTCCTCATCTGGGCTGAATGTTCCATATATCCGTGATACACTTGCACATTCTTCCCCCCATCCTTGGTACCCACTCTCCCCATGTGCCACCAGTTATGTCTTACTTAAACTGGCTACATTCTCCACCTATAAACCTTTTGCCTCTACCTATAAACCTTTTTCTTGGACCGTATGCACTTTCCACTAGTGAAACTGCTTCAGAGTCCTTTCCTTGGCTGGATGCCCCTTCCAACAATATACCTTCTTCCAGAAATTCCTCTAGATTTGCTGTGTCCTCCAATAATGCACTCTCTCCCAAGACCTTTTCCACCATGGATTCTCCCTCCACTGACATACCATCTGATAATTTCTCTTCTAGGCATGCTGCAACCTCAACCTATAGCACCAAATGCACAACTCTCTTCTAAGTTTACACACTTCCTGCTGAAGTGTTTTTTTTTGTTTGTTTGTTTGTTTTTTGTTTTTTTTTTTGTTGTTGTTGTTTTGTTTTTTTCTAAGCTGGATATTTTTTCTACCTGTACATCTCTTCCAATGTTCTTCTCTGGGTTGGGTGCTCACTTGACCCATGGATTTCTCATCAAGTCCTCCCATATACTCCTTCCACCAAACCTGCATCTCCTGCTGAATTTTTCCCTAAACTATACAATATTTTCACTCATATATTTCTTGCTATATCCTTCCCAAGGCTGGAGGATCCCTTTAACTATGCACTTCCTGGTATGCTCCTCTTAGACTGGCTACAACCTCCAACCATGCACTAATTACTAATCCGTCCTTTAGGCTAGCTGCACCATCTACCTATGGACTTCCCAACGAGTTTACACCTAGTCTGGATGTTTTCTCTACCCACATACCTACTGTTGAATTCTTCCCATCTCAAATGCATAAATCTCCAGTCAACTTTTTAATTTTACATTTCCAAATTAAGTTCTCTATAAAAAAAATGATATAAAGAACTAAACTTTCACAGTATCTCTAACATTTAAAACTCTCCTTGTGGTTTTCCATGTAATTCCTGGAATCTCACAAAGATTTGTTCTTTCAATTTATGTATAGCACTGTATTAAAATATTTAAGTTTATTTGTTGTTATTACTAATAAGCTGTTAAAGCTTGTCATCTCCAGATAATTTTTTTTCGCTTTACTCTGATGCTTCCCAAAAGGCTCTGCAACCAGATAAAAATGAGAATTCTTGTCTTTGATGACAGAAGACAATTTGACGGCTTTGAGGAAAAAGGCAGTACCCCCCAGTACTAGTACTTTGAAGAACAGTCTCTTTGGTACACACTTCAGCTAACAGAAGCTTCTGATGACACATAATCACCTTTAAGACCATGACAGTGAACAGAGGCAGTCCTCAAAAACACCTTAGTTGAGAAGTAGTTTCATACAATTAGTTTTTCTTAAACGTAGCCTACCCAGCCTTCACCAAATGAAACAGAAATGAAGGTAATTGAGAACAAGTTATTTAGATGCTTTGCTAGATATCCAATAGACCCTAACATCTTAGTACTGAAGACTAGTTTCTGTTTTCTAGAGGAAAACATTAAGTTTTTTTTCCCTCAAGGCTCATTTCTCAGTACAGAATAGAGGAAAGAGCAAAACAATAGGTAAGGAAGGCTGGACTCTTGCTCCCACTGTACTATACATACTCACCATGTGACTTTGAGCGAGCTAATTGACATCTTTGAATCTTGGTGGCCACATCTGTAAAAATGGATACTAGTAATGTCTGTGTCAGATTAGCAAAACTGTTGTTCAGCTTAGGTATGTGACTTAGCAGTTTGTAATCTGCGCCTCAGGAAAACAATGTAGCTGATATTTTCTTTTACTTGAATCCTATTTTGGGGTTCCAAAGACCTTTGTGAAGAGTCTTTCACACCTGTAATCCCAGCACTTTGGGAGGCCAAGGCAAGCAGATCACCTGAGTTTGGCAGTTTGAGACCAGCCTGACCAACATAGAGAAATCCCGTCTCTACTAAAACTACAAAACTAGCCGGGCATGGTAGCGCATGCCTGTAATCCCAGATATTCAGGAGGCTGAGAAAGGAGAATAACTTGAACCCAGGAGGTAGAGGCTGTGGTGAGCAGAGATCGCGCCATTGCATTACAGCCTGGGCAACAAGAGCAAAACTCCGTGTCAAAAAATAAATAAAGAGTCCTGCCATCTACCTCAGAACGCATGTGCAATATCTGTCACATACAAGGACCAGGAGATCTGGGCCTTCAAAATGCTTCTGTTGCAAAAGATGTTCTCTCTGGGAGGCCAGTCTGGTAGCCAGTCTGGTGATCATGCCAAGATCAAGTCACCATTACTCTCCAAGTCCCCTGCCTCCAGGCTCAACTCTGGTGCTCATCTTTCCTCACACATGATGTTTTCTGCATCTTTACCCAAGTCTGGCCCCTGCCAGCCCTGACACTGCTTGTGATCAGTGGCCTGGGTGGCAGCCACAGTCACCCCAGCCTCTTTCCTTGCTCACTTGGGTGTTAGTTTTCCCACTGTCAATAGGACACTGGCCACGAACGCTGTTCCATCCACAGGGCACAGGCCACAGGGATTCCTTCCTCACATTTCCCTCCCACCTATTAGAAATGCACACAAGGCCCAAACCTGGGTGGGCTCATGCCTTTCCAATGACAGAGATTCTCTCTGCCTCCCTGCCTCCCCTGAGTATAGGATTCCTTATACATGTGGAAGGGGGATCTGGCAGGGTGCTGCATTAGCCTGATGCTATGCTGGCTGTGGCCCCTGTGTTTCCTGTGAAACCTACAGGCACAGCTGAGCATAATTCTTAAAGGGATGGCGGCCACTCCTGCTGACTGTCCCATGCCCCTTGACTCTGCAGAGGGCTTGCAACAGGGGCTCATCCAAGTTCAACCTCCAAACTCCACCTCAGACATAAAACAGAGTCTGAAAGAGCCCAGAAGCCCGGGTCATTACAGGGTCACAGTGACCCTTTTTGTTGACGACTGCATAAACTGTAAGGTGACCACCTGACTACACAGAGGGACTCACCCTCTGTGGGGAGTGGGGAGGGACACCCTGGCCTCCTGGCCCTCCATGGCAGGCCCCCTTCCTCCCTCCCGCCCACTTCAGGCTCCCGGTTCCATGCCAGGTCGGGGTGCAAAGCACGGTGGTGCCCCCTCACAGATAAGGACACCGGCTGGGGGCTGAGGGGAGGGTGGAGCCTGTGCCTGGCCCCCCCCATGCTCGGCCAGCCATGCCCTTCAGCTCCTGAGAGTCGGGGGCCTGCATGCCACTGCCCCAAGCCACCCTCCTCTTGCCCCTACTGGTCTGTCCTGCCCTTCTAACGTGGCTGAACGGCATGGGTCAGACAGAGCAGGCCATCCTGCCCTGCCAGACTTTTGGGGTCGAGTGTTTCCCCCAGCCCAGGACTTCACCCCATGTCTTGTTTCCTATCCATTTTCCTGCGTCTGGCCCTCCTCATCCCAGAGCAGCCTTCAGAGGGCTAAGGTGGGTGGTGTCACAGGCCCTTAGCACCCGCATCTGTGCTGTCACCTGCATATGCTGCCACCAGGTGGGTGCCGAAGCCATTGTAATATGTAATAGGTGCCTCCTGCCCAGAGAGACGGATATGCCTGCCACAGGTCAGGCGCACTGATTTTCGTTCTTTTAATCTTTAAAACCCACAAGGCAGTTCACGTGTTCTAGGTGACACCATTGCTAAACTTCAGCCACAGGTCTGTTCATGAAGTGCCTGTGACGCTGAGCTTCTCAAGATGGGGCCCCTGGATAGGCTGCTCAGCGTCGTCCCCGCCCCACCCCTGCTGAGCCGGAACTCCAGGCAGGGCCCAGCCCCCTCCACCCCCAACCCCCATCCCCCCTCCCCGTTCCCCAGCCCTCCAGGTAGCTGTGGTACCATTTTTCATGATGGTTTCTCATTCACTCACTCACTCCTCAATCTCCATGTAAAGCCCCTGTCCCAATAAGTTCATGCTAGCCAGTGTGCCCCCTCTCCACCCACCCCTGTGACCACCGCCCTCTGACTTCAGACCTTTGCTATCCTGAATAAAGCCTCCTGCACCTCAGTCAGAGACTGCAGCTCCACCCCAGACCCCAGCATCAGGCTGAGAATTCAACAAGCCTCGGAGGCCCCCAGCCAACTCCCTGGCCTCACAAGGCCTTCCTGTCCGAGGCAATGAGGAAGTCTCTGTGTCTACTACCCCCGCCAGTTCCTCTCACCAGGGCCAGTGCCCTCACCATCACCATTGGAAACTGCCCCCTCTAAAATCACGGATTCAAACACTCCCCACACTGGCCACCCTTTCCACTCCTTCAACTCTCTAGGAATAGCTTCTCCTAGATGTCTCACAGACACCTCCAAACAAAGTGACGGAAATTGAGAGGAGTCAGAAACACTGTCAAGGATTTACCCAGTTTAATAGCTTGGGCAGATGGAAGCAGCCTGGGGTCTTTCATCTTCGGGGATTTGGGCAGCTGGAAGAGGTTGCTGATGAAGTCCTGCATGGCTCTGAAACTCAGGAATCCTCCCTCCTTCATCTCCTCCTCTCCAAAACTCAGGAACTCTCCCCATCCATCTCCTCCTCCTCTCCGAAACTCAGGGACCCTTCTTCTTTCTTCTCCTCCTCTCCGAAGCTAAGGAACTCTCCTTCCTTCTCCTCCTCCTCGGGTTGGGACACTTCTTCTACCTGAGACGGGGTGTCAACTTCCAGCTCCAAGATCCATCTAAGCTGTTCATCCTTTTGCAGTGCCCTCTGCACGTGTTCTGGGGTGATACGCACCCTGCGGCTGTTCTCGGCCTCCTGGCCCGCTTGCTCCAGGATGTTGGCGGTCAGGTACTCCAGAACACCAGCCAGAAAGACAGGTGTTGTTGCGCTCAGGCGCTGGGCGTACTGACCTTCTCGCAGGGAGCGCTCCACGCGGCTGACGGGAATGTGCAGCTCTGCTCTGCTGGAACGGGAACGGCGCTGTCTCCTAGGCTTACAGGAGCTGCGACTGTTTTTCTTTCCAGCCATAGTAGTTTATGGGTTTTGCCCGGATTGGCACAGCTTGTTTTTCCTGCTGGCCTGAGCGTCTCAATGTGCTAGTGCTTAACGCCGCCCACTGTACCTCGCTCCAGCCCCTCATTGGTCAGGAGTTGCCTTTGTGACAACCTCCACTTTGTGACGTCGTTGCTGTCCACTGGGCCCTGAGCAGGCCTCAGCCTAGAAAAGCCCATGAGAGGACCCTGGTCACCCTAGTAACAGGGACTTTCCGCCCACTGTACCTCGCTCCAGCCCCTCATTGGTCAGGAGTTGCCTTTGTGGCAACCTCCACTTTGTGACGTCGTTGCTGTCCACTGGGCCCTGAGCAGGCCTCAGCCTAGAAAAGCCCATGAGAGGACCCTGGTCACCCTAGTAACAGGGACTTCTTTTTAAGGGAATGCTAACTATCTACCTGATTTTAACATTCTAGCAAAAACTGTTTCAATGAAAACCTTTTCCTTGTTCGCAGGATACAACTCCAAGTTATCTATCTGATTCTAGTCTTGCATTGTCTTTAAGCTCTTTTACATCCATTTGTATGTTATAGGTAACTGAGAGACATGCTCATCCTATAGAGACCTCAACAGTAGGCTCAGTCTCCCCCCACCAATACACACAACAGTAATCAAACCAGTTTTGCCTCCATTGACATATTCATCTCAGTATTCCTTATCTGTATGCTGGTTTCTGTACTTTGGATTCTCCGTTATATTGGTTATATATGCCAACTTCCTTATGTGATAAATATTTTAATATGTTCACATTTGTGTGTCATGATTTTACAGTCTTGATAATTATCTTTACTTGTTTTGAAAGACACACTGATATGTCCAATTGATTTGCTGGCTAGAACCACGTGAACTTTGATGACAGAAGTTCACCACACACATGCAAGTTTAAAGCCTAACATGTGTTGTACTGTCTCTTCTCTGTGAATCCAATTTACCAATAGTACTTCGTTGACTCTGTTTTTATAATTTGTGTTTTCCTCTATGCTAATTTAATGTTTTATTTTTGGTTCATTTTTGTTTTGTTTTGTTTTTGGTTTATTTTATAGCCAATAAGTTACTCCCATTGTTGAAAATCATGGTTGGGAATTTAGTTTTTGGCTTTGTATTTACTTTACTTTTTAATTAAGTTTGCATAACATAAAATTTATCCATTTAATCATTTGAAGTGTACAATTCAGTGTCTGCACTACATTCATAATTATCATCCCTATCAGATTCCAGAATGTTAAGCAGTCACTCCTATTCCTATCTCCCCACAAGCCCCTGGAAAAAATTTACCTACGTTTTATCTTCATGGATTTGCCTATTGTAAGCATTTTATATAAATGGAACAACACAATATGTGGCCATTTGAAATTTGGCTTCTTGGCCGGCTGTGGTGGCTCACACCTGTAATCTCAGTACTTTGGGAGGCCGAAGCAGGGAGATCACCGGAGGTCAGGAGTTTGAGACCAGCCTGACCAATGTGGAGAAACCCTGTCTCTACTAAAAAATACAAAATTAGCCAGGCGTGGTGGCACATGCCTGTAATCCCAACTACTCAGGAGGCTGAGGCAGGAGAATTGCTTGAACCTGGGAGGTGGAGGTTATGGTGAGATGAGATGCCACTGCACTCCAGCCTGGGCAACAAGAGGGAAACTCCGTCTCAAAATTGATTTCCTTCATTTAGTATGTTTCAAGGTTCATTCACATTATAGTGTGTATAAGTACTTTATTCATTTTTATGGCTATAAAATAGACCATGATATGCATAAATCACATTTTAAAAATCGATTCCTTTGTTGATGGGCATCAGGGTTGTTTTCACCTTTGGGGCATTATAAGTAATGCTGCTATAAGCATTTGTGTGCAAGTTTTTATATAAACACATATCTTTGATTATCTTGTGTATATACCTAAAAGTGCATTTGCTTGGGCGTGTGAAGAGAATTTGTTTTATGATCTGACCATTTGGATATTTTCTAAATAGATTGGTAGTTTGTAGAGATCTGTTCTTTTTTGAGTGAGAGAAATCACAGAATCTGTTGTGTCAGTGTTCTGTCTGTCTGTCTATTTTTCAGCTCAAGCCAATGAAGAATTTCATACTCTCTGGGAAGGAAACAACTATTGGATGTCTGTACCAGGGGTTTTTACTGTTTTTCTGTTTACTCTTGAATCATGGCTGAAATTTGTAAAATGGAAATTAAATGCTCTATTTCTCCATTCCTGTATGTCTGCATGTCTGTAATGTGGAAACACCTTCAGTTCTGATTGTGTGAGGGTGTAAAATTTTTCTACCTCCACATTGTGCTAATATATTAGATTATTAATTATTCAAAATTAAAGGCTGAAACTTCCATCTTTTCATCTCCTTCCAAATCATCCTTGAGGCTTATTGCATCTGATACTCATGCACTTCCTGCTGGATCCTCCCTAACAATGGCTGTTTACAGCACTAAGGCCCCTTCTTCTTACTTCTCCCTCAGTCTAGATGCAACTTCTTCCCTTGCATGTCTTGTCAGTTTATCCTCTAGAAGAATGCTACACCACTCCCGCTGAGTTTTCTTTGAATGGATTCTCCCTCCACTTATTCACCTCCTGTTATATTGTCTCCTGGGCTGACTATGCTTCAACTATGAACTACTTGCCAGGTGCTCCCTTGGGCCAGTATAACCACTTACTAATGAACTTTCTATGAAGCCCTCTTCTAACCTGAATGCTTCCTCTAATATATCTCCTGCTAGGTCCTTTCCAAGGCTTGATTCTCCTTTCTACTCTGCACGTACTGATGGAATGACCCCTAGGCTGGGTCCACCCTACACCATGCAACACCAGCCATGCATCTCCACCCATGCTTATCCTCCCATGCTCCCTCCAACAATACACCTCTCCTGCCAAATTCTACTTTACAATGGATGCACCCTCCTCTATTAATATATCTCCTCTTACTTCTCTCCAAGGATAGAAAGTCTCTAAAACTCAACATTTTACTGCGTCCTCTGCTAGGCTGGTGGGACCTTTCACCAACCAACCTTCTGCTGAGTCCTATCTTAGGTGGAATGACTCTTCCACCCATACATTTTCTGCTGAGTCTTACCCTAGACTAGATGTTTTCTACACTTATGGATTTATGGCAATGTCCTCACCTCTGCTCTCTGCTCCCTCCATTCACATATTTTCTGCCTAGTGTTTTTCCCAGGCTAGATGAACACTTCATAATTCAGTTCCTGCTAGGCCCTTCACTAGACTGGTTATACTCCATTGGTGTACTTTCTGCCAGGTCCTTCCTAGGTTGGCTGCACCCATGCAGCTCTGACTGTGTCCAACTCTAAGATGGATGCTCATTTGACCTATCTACTTCCTGGTGACTGCTTCTCAAGACTGTACATTCATACATGCCCTTTAGCGTCACTCCTAAGCTAGATGTCCCCTTCACATACGTGCCTTCTGCCCTTTTCTTAAATTTGGCTGCAACCTTGACTCAGGTATTTCCTGCTAGGTCCTACTCTATACTGGCTGCTGCACTGCTCATGAGTTTATAGCCATATCTGTCCCTCTACTCACTGAATACTCCATCCATGCAACTCCTGCCAAGACTACCCCTAAGGTGGATGCTCTCTCCAGCCATGTGCTTATTCCCATATTAGTTTTTTGGGCTACATGTTTCTTCCACCTATGTACCTCTCTTTGGCTAGTTTCACTCTCCAACAAAACACCACCTGAAAACTTTTCCCCCTAGATTGAGTCTATTCTCCACCCTTGCACTGTCCGCTCAATCCTGTCTTACTCTTGCTGCACACTGCATATATAAACCCACAGATTCCCCACCTTGGTTGGATGCCTCCTTTACCATGCACATTTAGCCAATTCTTCTGGCTGTATTCTCCATATTTGCAAATCTTTTTGATTCCTCTGATAACGTGAGTGCATCCTCTACATATATAGTACCCACTGGGTCCTTGTATGGATTTGCTGCTTGCTCTATGCATGCAATTTTTACCCATTCTACCTTAGGCTGAATGCTACCTCTTCCCATGAACCCTCTGCTCCCTCCTCTGACTCACATGCTGCTGGTTTTTTAGAAAATGGAGTACTTCCACAAACCTTTAACTTCCTACTGTGTCCACCATTAGACTGTACGCTCCCTCCATGAATGTATCTTCTGCCTAATCTCCCATAGGATTTCTGAACCCTCCATACTTGAACCTACTCATGATTGTTCCACATGTGCTCATGCACTTCTTGGTGGTTCTCACTGCATATTTTATGCAGGCACTTTCTGCAGGTTTTTCCCTAGGCTTGCTTCGCTTTCCGATACTGCAACTGCTGCCATTTCCCCCATTGGCAATGAACTGCCCAGCTGATCCTACCATTGACTGAATAGTTTCTCCACACATGCATTTTTGCAACTACCTCCTTTTTGTTGGATGTTTCCTCTTCCCAATGTATACCAAAAAGTGTCTAAAACAGGTATCAATCAATTTAAAGGTTT